TGCTGTTAAAACCTATTTTTAAAACTGTGGATATTTAATTTCCGAAAATTCAACCATTTCATCATAAATAGAATTTATAAACCAAAAACATTTAAATCAACTATTGGTCCAGTTTATGCAAATACTTTACTTTAATGTGTTTAAGATAAGGAGGACGGGATATTGCTTGTTATAATATAACATCCCTCGGATAGTCACCATACATATGGAAACATAATATGATTTATTTATAGTATAGTTTTATCAGTAAGTAGTTATTTCCCGCGGCGTTGGTGTATCGCATCTCGCAGATGTGTAATTATTAACAAGTGTCACTGCATTAATTGGAATCAAGTAGCCGGGGATTGATTTGATCATTTGGCACGGTTGAAAACTACCCTAAAAACCAACTATATACAATGCATTGAATGAATTTTATTGCACCGCCAGTGTAGAAATACATCATGGACTACATGATACTTGCCATGTCAAGAACCAGAATGATGGCCCAAATAATAGAACCAAGACGAACTAATTAAATGTCATATCGCTCGTACGGACACCCACCATGGGCGTTGTCAGGATTCCCACGGGTGACGCTTGTATTGAAACAATATCAAGCGTATCTTCACATTGCTATCAACATGCGTGGTTTCTAAAACATTATCCGCGTCGCTTTTAGCAAGTATGTGGTATATGGGAAGCTGACAGTGTATGACACCACGTGTAATAATATAATTCGTAAAACAATATCACATGTGAAAAATCAGCCTGTAAAGCATTTCACCACGATGTGGAGGGGCTAAAATCACTTAAAAATGTTTTTATTCAGTGTATATTTATTCATATACGGGTGTATTGAATCACTGTCCCATCATAAAAGGTGTTTTGAATCATGTGATGTATCAATTTGGGTCACGTGATTTATCTTATAAAAAGACATGCTACTTTAAATAGAGAGACATACACATACACACCGGACCTGGTCCACCTGTTTGCTCTCCGGGCATGGCCGTTTAGCCAACGCCCAGATACAACTTTTGTACTCCATGCTCTGGCTAAGCTTCTTCCTCCTGATGTCTCGACTCCGAATAAAAATCACCGGTTCATACCACCCCCGTTTACAGTCTCAAATCATTTATTGACATAAAAGTCATATTGTCATGTTTTTTTTAATAGTCGATATATTCAATTCCTTTTAGTGTATTCTATCAGACTGAGTACAACTAAAAAATAGTACTAATGCTATTTTAGGCACCGACATTTCTTGTGACGAAGAAGTACGCACGAGTGACGAAAATTCGCTAATTTTATAGTGAATTTGAAGTCCCTAAACGAGCAAAGTAGCGACATGCTGCTTTGTCGTTTTTGTAAGAACGGTGGAGTTCGGTTGGTGGGAGACATGGACAGACTCCATTGATGGAGCATCGCGTAAAAAAATTATCGCTAAAATTTAAGCACGTGTCACTTGCTATATCCGGCGACAGTACGCGAAACACAGCTTACGTTCACGTCCCAAAAGATGAATAAATTATTAAATAACTATTAGTGCTGAACAGAAACCAAAACGGACATTCATTATTTGTAATAATATATATAAACATACCCAGCGTCATCCACGTCTTGTACAAGTGTTTCTATTTCAGATACCGTTGTTGGTACATTATTTGTTGTACATTTTTTTCTTTTACGGTTTAGAATAACAAAGCATTTCAATTAATAAAGTAATTATGAACCAGTTCAATGGATATTCGCAAACACTTACGGGTTTTCGCCGATTTCATCCTCCATGTCCGTTTATTTTAGTAG